AATGGCACACAGAAGTAGAACAAAGGAAAAATAGGGCGCTACCCCAGTGTAGTGTCATTGTAATATTTAAAAACTTTTCAGGTGAATAATTCTCAGACACAATCCCCAAACCAACCAATACTACTGCTTTCCATCCATTTCCATCTTTATTGACATAATACAATGTGGTGACGACAAGTCAGCAACATGCCAGAGGTATAGAAAACTATATTAAGTTGGGAAGGAAGGAGGAGGAAATGTGGGATGAGTCTACCTCAGGGAAGATGGACCCCTCACCAGGAAAATGGCTGCTGTACACCCACATTTAGTGACCTTTGAAAGAGAGGAATGTCTTGTTTCCCTTTCTGCTTTACTCAGATATAGGTTATTTTCAGAATAAATGCAATAAAACATATGTTTTGAGAATGGTAATGAACTACTACTGTAAACACAAGTTTGCTGTTTATAAATGGGCTGTGCCACCATTGCCACACACTGTTTTTTAGGGTAGGGATGTTCTGCCTGTCCTAATGAGTTTATCAAGAAATACAGAAGAACTGCTGTTAATATTCACTCATTCAGCTTTCCCTTCCTGTGCTGATCACACACACAGTTGTTCTAGTGTTGTTTTTTTTTTTAAATAATAAATGAAATCAACCAACAGAAAACACTTCATTAATGTGATTAATTTTTTGATTGATACACATTAAACATAGGGATAATAAAGATGTCTTGAACCGTTGGGGAATTAGGTACAAATTAAGGTGTTAATATGGTGTTCTCAGACAACAGAAACTCCTGTTTCAATGAAAACTCTGCAGGAAGAAGAATCCTTGCGAAACAGGTGATTGCCTTTCTACCTGAGGCTAGATGGTAGCTGGGAAAATAAAAGTGGATACCTGTTTCTACTCCTTCAGAAGTCAGTGCTACTCATGTATTTAGTTGTCATCTTATCTGCATTCAAAGAAAGACTTCAGAGAAAAAATTTCAAATATTAAACATAAAAGAAATTTTTCTTCAGGGTAGATCTGCATATCTACCCTGCTAACTTAAGCAAAATGTGGACTTTGTTACTTACCTCTTATTTAATTACTAGCTTTCCTAAAGACTGTAATCTTTCTTAAGTGATTTTTTCCATTCTGCCTGTGATCTCTGTAAAAGGGATCAGTTAATGACACTTTAAAAACTCATAGTGAAACAAAAAATAAAACGTTAACTGAGAAATGTGAGGCATAAAGTAATTTCAGCAAGGTCATCTCTGTCATAACACACATCATACATATTTAATGTTCAAACAGAGCTGGAATATCCTTAACTGCACATTTCACTGGAAACTGGGGCAGGAGACTGTCATTGTCATGATATTAAGGAAATCTTAAGTTTAGATTTTTTGGGGTTATTCTTTCTAATATTCTGGTATAGGCTAAAATTATTGAAAACTGAGTTCTGGTATAAAAATACAAAGAAAAAGTAATTAATTTAAGACCAGTGCATTGCAGAAGTGTACTCTTTGAATTTTAGTTCACAATATGTTACGATAGTTTGGATGAACAAGTTCTTAACATAAGTATGTCACCAAGCATTCTTTAAATCAGATGTGATGTTTTTCATAACCAAAAGTAATCTCAGCTCAAAGCTTTAAAGTGCAAGTAGAACAATACTCCTGAAGTCATCCCATTAAAGTGAGGAATTTGTTTCAATTTTACAGTGATGTGTACAGGTACTAAGACTATCCTATGCCTGTCAGAGGTGGAAATAACACTCTTTATGTTTTGCATTTTTATGTAGTGGGTATACGTATGTATCTCCTTTATGCTTTTCCATAGCATGTGTGTGACCATAAAGGCAGTCTTATCAAGGAGTGGATTCTGCTGAATCTTTCTGCTGTGTTATTTTTCAACCAGATCAGCTCTGTGACTGAATTTTCTGCGTGGCCATGGCAGCACTGTGACTTCTATAACTGAGAAGTAGTGCTGCGCAAGGGAGGCTGGCATATCAGCCATTTCAGGGATTTACGTTGGTATATGCCAGTTGTGAAGCCATGACCTAGGCAGCAGTCCTGCCATTTATGTGCATGTTTATGACCGTTTGGCAGCCTAACTCACATCACTATTGCTAGAAGGATTTATAGCAAAGGAGAAATAAATACCTAAGTTAAATGTGGTTGGACTGTATGTCCTGTCCTTGCTGGTTTATGGTGTGGAATAGCTTACAGTTGCAGTCAGGTATTTGTGCCACCTGTCACCTTTCTCCCTGTGCAATGAAAAATGTTGTTAGTTTAGTACAAGCTGATGGATTGCATGTGCTTCCTCCCACTGAACAGTTGTCTTGGTTCCGTGTACGGGGGAGGAGAGAACCTGTGTTTGTGTCTGCAGTTTTGGGTTGGCTTTGGTGGGGAGGGGATGTGGATGGCTGTTTTCTTGGGCAATTAGGAGAAAAATAGAATAAATTGTTATGAGTTTTGAAGAACTCTGTAGTTATAAAATTATTTTATTAAGTAATCAAGATAGATAATTCCTTCTGCTCCAGGAGACATCATTTGTCACATCAGCAATGATGCAACAGTGCCCTGAGCACTAACTGGAAAGCAAAACCTGAGTAACTTATAATCCTTGACTACTGTGTGCTTTCAGAAATTTCTAAAACTTGTTTCCTTTTCCTCTGCTTATTTCCAGTAAGTAGATTCAGACCTCTTATAACTTGTTGCTGGTTGAAACCAGTTCTTATTTTTATTATCGTAATTCTGGGGTTTCGTTTAAATTTAAACTGACTTCATTAAACCCTAGTAAAGTATAAGAAATCCTGATCTCTGGACCCACATTAAAATTGTGGGGGAAATGAGAAGTAATTGATAGGTGTGAAAATAGTAAATCTTTTTTGTTATACATATTGATTTATTTTTTTAAAGCATTTTAGGGAATGATGGATTATAAACTTTGAGATCCACAAAGATATTTTAGCTGTGTCGGCGCGGGTACATGAGAAGGCCCCCAGCTGATTCCTTGTTGCTTGCTGTCTTGTTGCTGTCTGTGCCTGTGCCGTGTGGCCATAAAGTGCTCCTGCTGAGGTTTGCTATAGATAGTTGCATTGCACAGGTGTACAGTGAAATGGGGTGGAAAATTGTGCTGCTTGACTTTAGTGAAGAGCAAAACCAAATGTGCTGTCAACCTTTGTACAGCAGTAAAGATTTATGGTTGGGTTAATGAGCAGCTTTTCTAAACCATAAATTACAATTTCTACAAATGTATGATAAAGTCTTTTGCTCTTGCTGATTTCATAACGCACAGGGGCATAGCATCACTTTCAGAAACTTACAAGTATTTCAGGTCTTGTTTTTTATTAATAATTTATTTCTACAGATGGAAATGGTTAATGTTAAGGAAGAGGAAGACTTTTAGAATTCTAGGTGTGTTTTACATTTAAATGATTCTAGGTATCATGGCACTGTTTGTTTGTTTTCAGTAGAAAGTTAATCTGATTTAACCTTAAGCTATATGACAATATTGTTACGGTGAATAAAAAGCCATAGTTCCCTGTAGACTAATAAAAACCTATGTTCCTAGGTAACTGAGTTCCCAGATAATGTTTCAAGTTCACATTATTTCTGCTCGTGTCAACTTACCAGTTCACTTTATTGAAAAGAATTATGTTTCTCACAAGGCAGCCTATTGTCCTGTCCTGTCCTGCTGATGTTTTTTCCAGTGCATGGTGTGGCCGCAGGTGTGAGGGAGCAAAAGCTCAAGTAAGAGCACAATAAGTAGCATAGGGGGAATACACTTTAGCAATTGACAGGAATATTAGTAATTCGTGGAGAAGTGGAAAACTTAAACTCCGTGGATTTCAGGATAACTGAATCTTGACTTTTACAAGAAAAACAACCATCTAAACACATGGTAAAGACACCACGAATTAGATTCATACAAGAAAGCAATGCAGAACTGAATGTCTATGGCATGCTGAGTGTTGTTGTGATGGGCTGTGCTACTTCGGATCTGAGAAAAATCTTAATCTTTCTTTTCCAAGGAGACTGAATATTTTGGAGGAGATTTGTTTGTTTATTGTTCTAGAGATTTTTAATTAATGAAGATGCTCTTAGATATTAGCCACAATGAACATCCACAAGTTAAGATTTCTAAAATCTGAAACCTGCATATGGCATCTTAAAAAGAGTGGTTGCTTGTTTAGCTGCATATTTCAAATCCGCTTTCAACAGAAATATCAATAAACTCTAGAAACTAAAAAACAGTATTGCTAGTCTTACAATATACAGATTTCTTTAGCATCAGCAGATAGAGTAAATTATATGAATTTTTAATGCATTTCCCATTGTAACAAAAATAGATTACGTAGAAGAGCATTAAAGAAAACAATGCTTGTTTGCTTTATGTGTCTTAAAATACTTAAAGCGAGGAGAAATACAGCCTGGACTTAGTACTAAGATAAAGGGACCATTTAAGCTACTTACTTACTGCAAACAGATTTAATAATTTAAAATCTTCCAAACCAACACACATAATGTGAAATCCTATTTATAGGATTTGTTTTCCATACTTCCTGTGTGCTGTTAAATTCCGATATTTCTCAATGTGCTATTTATGTTTTAAGTCAATCAAGAAAAATCTATTGGGTGTACTCAATTGTACATTCTTGTTCAATATGTATTGTCCAAATCTATGACTGTAAATAAATTATATGCTAAAATATTTGGTAACAAAGCGTGAGGCTACTTACAATATGGAAGAACAGAGAAATGCCAAATGTCTCTATACAAAATATATATCTCCAGTATGTTCTTTTGGAGATAATGGCAGTTATATTTCTAAATGTTAGATATCTATAGTAATGCTTTTTGTCTTCAAAAATAATAGTCTTCATCATCACTAAGAAATAGTTGAGGATTTATAGGTGGGTAAATCAGTATTTCAGTTCATGTTTTAATGCATGGTAGCCTGAAAATTAAATCCACTAAAACTGGACGGAATTTTGTGTTAACTGGAATTCTGTGTGTTGTGTCCCTCTAGGAGGAACAGGCTGCTAAACTCAAAGCTGAGAAGATTAGGGTTGCATTGGAGAAGATTAAAGAGGCACAAGTGAAAAAGGTAATTTATTTACACTGGTTTATAAGATACTCACCTGGAAAATGCAGGCAAAATTCTTCTTATTTGTGTCTGTTACCCTTAAGTTGCCCTAAGTAAAATAGGAACGCTGTAGTGTTCTGATCTTGAGTGATAATGTACTTTCTCATCTAGACTGGACCTAATCAAGAAAATCCTAGCATATGGAATAACATCATGTATTTCTTAAGGAATAGCTTATTTTGCAGCTAGTGCACATTTGAGAAGACCTCACCAACTTCCACTCAGAGATGAAATGAAGATCTAGTCTCCTGAGATTGTCGTTGCGTATTAAACAGTCACACATTTAAAATTTGGGTCTGTTTTCCTTACAGAGCCCTTCTCGTTATACGTAGTAGGATTTTCTAGTGATAAACGGAGTACAAGCATTCCAGACTACAGACAGGGGTTGCCAAGTGGAGAAAGCCCACTGACATTACTTGATGTACTATTAAAGAATATAAAGTGTTTCCTTGAAATTTAGCATTCTTTCTTTATGTTTGGAGTTTTTCAGTAGCTTAAAATGCCTTTTTGCATTTAGTGTTTATATACCGAAAGCAGAAAAAATGTCCTGGTTAGAAGATGGGAATTGGCAAGCCAACCAGTGTATTACAGCTAGTACATTTTAACTTTTCCAGCTGAACAAGGTGTTAAAAAGGAAGTGTGGTGATAGGCAAGAAGAATCTATTGTCTTAGGTTTTTTGCTTGGTTAAAAAAAGGGCAGCATTTTTCTTTTTGGATGGTGGTCTCTCTAAAGTGTCTATGAAAAGCCATTGTGTTTTAAAAGCAGATTTTGTTTGTACTAATGCTTCATACTCCCTATAAAAGTATAGTATAATTATATTGTTTACATAATCAGCATTTTTAGAAACTATGGGGAAAGTGGGAAGAAAGCTCAAATTGCAAATTTGAAAAATACTGATTCTATATAAGGTTGTGCAGAACTCTGTATCTATGTTTGTTTCACCTAGATATGTGAGAAAAATTGTCACAAAGGCACTTTATTAATCAGAATAGGACACATTGGCAGAAGGGATTTTTTTTTCCTCCTTAACACACAACTAAAGTGTGTTGTCATTCTTTGGGAAGACTTTTGTTTACTCTCTTATACTGAAAGAGAACAGTATCTTGTTAAGTGTCATTGATACAAATATCTAGCCATCATTTATGGCTTTTTACATTTTGAGGGAGTGTTTTGATTGAACTTAATATTTTGTGCTATTTTAAAAAAACCTTAGAAAAAGAAACAAGATCTTAAAAAACATGGTTTTATTTTAAATGTGGAAAATTAATCCTTCTTCTTGTTTTCCTACTTTTCTGTATAATAGTTGGTGATCAGAGTCCATATGTCTGATGATAGCTCAAAAACAATGATGGTGGATGAGAGGCAGACAGTGAGACAAGTATTGGACAATCTGATGGACAAATCGCATTGTGGTTACAGTTTAGACTGGTCATTGGTGGAAACCATCTCTGAATTGCAGATGGGTAAGTAATAATTACAAACATCTCTAAATCTTATCTGTTGATGTAATAATTGTCTATATTTCTGTCCTCAGAAAGATTTAAATTCTTGTTTTCATCATGTTCATCATGTAGTAAGTGTTTGTTTGTGTAGTAAATGTTCATTCATGTAATAAAGCTCATGGATGACATTGTTGCAGAATTATCTGGAAATGTTTTCTTTTTTCATATTAGAAACATATCTAAATTCTAAGTTGTAACAGGAATTTTACTAATGTCTAGTCACTGAGCCTCTTGGTTTTGATGTGTTCCTCACAGAAGAAAGAGGTAAGGGACAAAAAACTGACTGTGCATCTTCCTTTTTGTAAATAGTATTTTGTACTGATCCTAATAGCTCTTATTACAAAAAGCTGTCTACATTTTTTTTTTCTGTTAAATATTTTAATGCAATTGGCAATATGTCTCTAAGGGCAGCTTAGCTCCTTTTCCCAGTATTGCACATACCATAATGTAAGATTTTCATTTAGCCAGGCAGTGTAGCATGTTAACTTTGTTTATTATTAGACAAAAAAGGCCATTGTAGGGTGACAAGGTATGTTTTGAATCTTCTTTTCATATGAAAAATAACATCTTAATAGGCTTAAAACCTTACAATTTTAATAAATGAAATCTTAGAAGTTACCAAATTTTGAAACCAGAAAGAATTTACACAAATTCTATGTAAATCCAAATTAGGCTTATAAAAATCAAAAGTATAATTCTGTAACATTTTACCAAGGAGAATAGTATGAATAAATAACCATATTAGTTCTGGAGTGCTTTTACTTGTCTATCACTGGAAAATCTCTGAATGTGTAGGTAGCAGGATCCTGAACTCAAGGCTCAACTAGGGGTCTTTCCCATCCTAGATTTACTTTCATAAGACACTTCGGTTCACTGTGCAGCCTGGAAAGAATAAAGGAAAAAAACACTGGAAAAAATGTTTTCAACTTCTGCTAGGAACAAAGAACTAAGCTGCAGACAGACAGATTAACTGATATTTATCCAGATTAACAGTGTGACTGAATTAAGATTATTTCAAAATGAAACCAAGGTTAACAAATCTCTCTTGTTGGGTGTTTCGCAAGTATATGCATGCCCTACTGTATGAGCTCGGTGACACACTGGGAATGACAGAATTTGACTGCTGTGTTGAATGAGTTTCAAGCCAAAGAACAGCCTCTATTATAATTACAGAATTTTAAATTCAGACTACAACATGATAAACCCAAGAGAGATGCAAGAGGGTAGAATTCAGTTTCCTCTTTCATTTTTCAGTTTGGTTTTCCTTGATCCTTGGTAGGGCAACTGTTAGGTAGTTTTTCATAGATTTCACGTATGTGTGTTTTTTTAAAAGACAATCCAAAATGCAGCTTGATTCATATGTTTTATACTGAAACTTGAAAAAAAGATGAAAACATGATTACAACAAAGCTCTCACCCTAGGTACTATTGTGTATTGCATTGTGTTATTTTGCCAGTGGTTCATCTTTTGAAACTTTTTTCTGGCAACACCTATGTAAGAGGAAGGTACTCCTTTATAATAATATTTTTCTTTAGTGAGACACAGACCACCTATGTACCTTCACAGAGTATTTTATCATTTTGTCTTGTCAGTTGATTGCTCATTAATTTCGCAGTTCAATAAAATGCAGTGAAAGCTTTAAGCTAACAGACTGCAGAGAAAGACTTGAGGCCTGGGGAGTTCCTGATTGTCTTCGCATTTTATGTGGTCTGCTGCAAATGTTAATGGTTAACTGGTTTTTGAGGAGTCTGATTTAGGTACATGTACTTGAAGTAGAAGGCCACCTGATACTGTCCAATGGTTTAACCAGGATCTTTATATGATCAGAAGAACTCAGTGATACTATTTCCAGAATGCAGAATGAAATGCTTTGCCCAGTTTTACCCTGCAAGTTTGTAACACAGACAACTCTGGAATGTTTCTCTTGGTTGGGATAAAGGTTGTTTTCACTTTTTTAGTCAGAGCAGAGTAGGTCTATGAAGTATCTATGAGTTACAATGTTTTAATTTTAGAGAGTATATTTAATAATAGGAACATTGCATGATATGCAGTTTGACATACTATAGGTACATATACACTCAGTGAATAAGTTGTTTTGTATTTGAGTTCAGTTATTGTTCTTCTTGTAATAATAGCTGACATGTTTTAAAAGCTGTCCAGTTTCACTAATGAGGCTGCAGTGAGATTTAAGCTTTTGTATCTGTCCTCTGAAGTTGTTTTTTTGTTTATGTTCTTCTGTTAGGTAACACCTTTTTTACTTTCTCAGAAGGCAGTATTGCTGATAGAGCTTGATGGAAGTTATGAGTTGTAACTCGAAAGTGTCTTAGAAAGATCTCACTGAGACATCAGTAATGTGTTGTTGTCTCATATCTTAATTCATTCCCTACAGTTGACATTTTGTTGCATTTACTGTGCTTAGTATTCTTAATTACCAAAGATGTTGAGATGTCATCTGTCATGTCAGTCTTCGTTAGTGATAGCTCCCAGGTCTGGATGTGATCAGTGCCATATACCCTCTGTAAACATGTGATGTAATTGATTTTGTGGAAAAAAACATGTTCTGCTTTCAGATGCAATTGAAAGGTCAAGCAAATCCCAGAGGATTCTGAAAGAAATAATTTGCTGAAATGCTGTGTGGCCTGTGTGAAGAGGGAACAAATTGCAGAAAGCAATATTCTACTTCAGTGTCATAGAAAGGAGAAAGTTGGTCTAGTGGTTTCCCAAAGATGTATTCTTCCTTATATATTTTAGAATAAGGGGTTTCAGATATTTCTCTATCATTTCAGTAAATTATCCTCTTTTTTTTATCTTCTCTTTTGTCTATTTTCAGTATGTTTGCTAGTGATAACTATTTCAACAGAGAGTCAAAGCTCAAAGTTCTCAGAAGCCATGGTTGATACATCCTTTATTTAGCAAGATAGATTTTAATAAATAAACAGTGTCAGTTTTCAGACTTCTACAGTAACCCCACAAACCAGGAGTATTCTGCATTTCGGAAGCATTTTGTTTTCCCTCTGATCATTGTCTATTAATTTTTTTGATACTTTGTGAGTGAGGTAGTGATTGGGGATGTAGAAAGAAATTTTGTGCTGAAAAAGCTGCCTAATGAATTCCTCCAGGGACTGTGTGGACTGGAGTACATATAAATGTGATAACCTTATTTGTACTCATAACACTTGAAATGTTGTATTTGAGTCTGCTGTGTTCATGTGGGATAGTAGGCGTCATCAAGTAAAAAAAAAAGAAAACCACTTCATATATTGATGGAACTTTAAGCCTGAAGAGACAGAAGTGAGAGCATTGAGTGAGTGTATGTGTAAAATTAAGCCAGGCATGTCTCTGAAAGTTGACTAAATTCTTTTAGTTTCTTTGTGTAAACTTCTTCACCGTTTTAGTAGACCTCAAACTCTGTTTTCTCTATGTATATGCCTTGTCTCCCGGATTCAAATGTACTTGCTCTCTTGTTATTGCTGCAGAAAGAATCTTTGAAGATCATGAAAATTTGGTTGAAAATCTTCTGAACTGGACAAGAGATAGTCAAAACAAACTAATGTTTGTGGAACGTATAGAGAAATATGCACTTTTCAAGAATCCCCAGGTAAGCCTGAAATTCATGTTGAATGCATGTGTGTGTGTGCATGCCTGATTGCAGTTCCTTAATTTTTTGGTAGCATTCATTTCCATACTTTCATTTTGATATTTGTGAATGTATTAAAATGCCAGGCAACTTTACATTTCGGCACCGTGTACATCCACATTGAGGTTGGCACAAAATGAAGTTCCTAGCAGAAAACCATGAGCTGAAGCATTCTGTTTGCTAATGTGTTTGTGGGTAATTTTAATGGAGATGAAGGCAAGCAGTTTCATGGCATTTACACCAATACTTAGTGTTTTTCAAATATGTAAATATGCAAGAAAGGTGTTGACAGATATTGCTAATAGTAATGTCTCTCCACTGTGAATTCTTATGTTGATGGCAAGAAGGGGAAGAGAAAAGCTAAGAGAATAGCTACTCCATGGTCAACTGGCAAGTGAAGAGAAGAGAGCATGTGTCCCTCACAGTGGAAGCTGGGACCTGCCTCTGTTGTTCCCTGTTGGTAGGAAACCAAAGGCCCCTCTTCTCTCAAATGGTAGCTACAGATTTGATATCCACGAGTAGTTCAGTATTGTAAGGGAGGGGAGGAAAAGAAATAGAAAAGCAGAAGGTGGCTCCTTGAAGAATTTGAATTGAAAAGAACTGGATATAATACCGCTTGATCTGTCTCTTAACTCTTACCTAATGTATTCCCATTTGGGGTCATAGATTATTTTTATATCTGTATGCCATCTATGTGGTAATTACTTGGATTTAAAACAAGAATCAGTTTTGCATGCTCGTCCTTTGAGACAACCTCAGTGTACTTGATTTTTATTTTTTTTTTAGCAAGAATTGAAAACTTATTCAAGCGTTTTGTGATGAAGCAGCAAAACTCTAAATTCTTTTTAAAACCATGTACTTGATCCCTTTACTGTCAGTATGTACAGTAGACACTGTCAACAAGAATGAGTTACCAGCATAAAACCAGTATTTCTCCTTGGTTTAAAATACTGAATTGGCTAAAGTTTGTGACTATTGTTTTTTTCCAGTATAATAGCTAGGGATTAGGAAGAGGAAGATTTTAATTACCCCAATCCTTTCCAAGCTGAAGAATAATACAAAACTTCTTATTAAGTAAGATACAGTACCTATGCATGCTTAGGTTCCTTTTAAGACGACAGGGAGTATTTCATAATTCTTCATGAAAAATACATATTTTTATTCAGCAAAATTCTCAGGGCAAGGTGGAAAGAAGTACATTGCTTCTTTGTGTGCTGCTTTGAACACGTAAATAATGGCGGTATGTAACAAGTTTAAAGATCTCTGTGTTTTTCAGTATTTTTATTGTGGGATTTTCAAGTTCTTAGTATTTTTATCTCTGGATGCATTGTACCAGACAGCTGTTTATTTTGTGGAAAGCCAGGACAATATTATTTGAGGCTCTTACTTAAGATGAGAGTACGGACTGATTGATATTTCTGGAAAAGGTGGTTATAACTCGGTTCCATGTATTATTTAGCAGTCTGACCAATCATTTCAATTGGACTACAAAGTTTTGTTCAATTAATGTATTGTTCATAGATAATAGCTAGTTTTTTCTTATTACTACAGAAAGGTAGATGAGCAATGTTATTTGCCCTGATTTCCGAATGCCTATAGAAATACTAAGCTTTCTCTTGTTACAGAACTATCTTCTGGGGAAGAAAGAAACCTCTGAGATGGCAGACAGAAATAAAGAGGTGCTCCTAGAGGTAAGACTGCCAAAACAGAAAGGGCATAGTGGTCATTTTAGAGTTTGAAGCTAAATTCTAAAAGGTTGTTGTGATTGAAATTGATGGACGGAGCTGAATGTAATTCTGGAACACCTGTGAATGGAATATGTTACATTTGAGATAAATGGCTTTTTTGATGTTACCCTGTTTCAGAAATGATCAGTTAATAAAAATGTGTCTTTATTTTGTTCAATAACTAAAATTCCATACACAGTGATAATCAAAATGAGGTTGCCTGTAACTGTGGCTAAAACCAGTCAAAATTCGCAGAACTGTCACCTGGATTATTTGACCTGTGGTCATAGAGATTTTTTTACTCTCTAAATGGTTATTCTCTACGAAATTCTGTATCATTGCTTCAGTGACTGGTCTATGTTAATATTTTAAATTTTCTTAGTAAGCAAAGTAGTTAAAAATTGTTTCAGCTAAATTTTAAAATAAATAACCAAATATTAAATTAAAAAAATGAGTGACAGAAAAGGAAGTCAGTTAATATGGACTACATTAAATAGTTTACAGAACTAAAGACAACAAAAAAACCCCATCAAACCTAGTATCCATAAGCTGAAAACAGACTGGTTTTGTGACATACCCATGCTGAAGTGTCATAGCTTCCACTTGATTTCCAGAATAATGATTGTGGTATCAGTAGTTACACAGAAGTAAATATTTTTGGTATTTAATTTTGGATTATACTTAAGACAATTTAACTTATAAGTAGCATATGCGTGCTCTCAGTATATTATTGATATGGGTTTTAATAAGTGGTCATATGAATACTGTGGATCAAAAAGATGCTTGGAGCCATGACACACACAGGGTGGTAATTCTATGTAATATGCAGCACTGAGATTTATGAGTAATCCCATAAAACAGAAAGAATTAACCTGGAGTGTATTTAAAGCATTTGTTTTTCTCTGTTAGCTCTTTATAAATAGAACCTTAGCAGAAGTTGTAGTGTTGGTGGATAGTAGCAACAAAGTACTCATGGAATGAATTATAGCTGTGTCTGACAGATATGTCATTAGGTTTTGTGTGTACTTAGACTTATATGGCTGCATCTATGAGGTGACCTCGTCACTCTAAAGGCAGTAAAGCCCTTGGGGGATGTATTACTGATAAGCAGTGGTTAGAAAACCTTTACAGTAGCTGCTAATATTTTTGTTGTCATTCTTGAGCTGAGAAAATGCTAAGAACCCCTATTGTGTTTTTCTGAATTATGTTATAGCTTCTACAATTAATCTCTAATTCATATTACTGCATGAAAAAAGAGCTATTCCTGTTATCTGTGCATTCCCGAGATAAAGAATTTCAGAATTTCAGTTATTAAAAACAAACCGCTGTATGTTCTTTCTCGTTCTCTCTTCCCAAACCACTGTGTTTATCGGCAGGAATGTTTCTGTGGAAGTTCTGTAACTGTGCCAGAGATTGAGGGAGTTTTGTGGCTGAAAGAGGATGGTAAGAAGTCTTGGAAGAAACGTTATTTTCTTCTTCGAGCTTCTGGAATCTACTATGTCCCTAAAGGGAAGGCAAAGGTATGCTATTTTAAAGCAATTTCCCTGAATTGTTTATTACTGGTAAATAGCGCACACAAGAGTCAGCCTTAAGTTTTGGCTTAGATGTGCCTTGCTTAGTGCCATGTCCCTTAATTAAAAATGCAGCTTTATCAGGGAAATATTTTATAAATTACTGTGGTGGCACTTGATGTGAAGGGTGTAAACCCAAATTTAAAAGTACAAGAAAACAAGGGACTGGTTTTTGAGTAATCTTGGGGTTAGGTGTTCAGAAACACTTGAGGAAAAATGAGGGGTGGAGTTAAGAGGCTGTCTTTTCTCAAGCAGAATTCAGATGAAGGACCAAACTGCACTGCAGATGCCAATCAGAAAGTATCAGACCAACTCCATAATCAGTCTGCATAATTTTATTGGTTTTAGGTAGTTCATATAAATGGGATTCTTTTCAGACCAATTTGTGCTATGTTTTTTGAAACTGGTAAATATATTACTGTTTCTTCAGTGTCACTTACTGCTGTTCTGTGTGTATCAATAATGAAGAGTAAATAGAAAGCTGTTATAGATGCATTGTAGCTTCAGGGATGAACTACTGTGAGTTCAAGTTGTCCATGAAGCCATAAGTCTTGACAGCATCAACTGATCCCCAGTACAGGAAGTCCACTTCCCACACAGCTGGCAATGAAGAGGAAATCTCTGTCAGCACATTAGCTCCCTTTTAAAGCTGAATACATCTCAGATGTTCTTTCCACAGCCTTTTGCTTCGTTAAAACAATCTGTATGCTGTTGAAATTCTGTGCCCTAGAATTATACTCATGTTCATGCTGAAATGTGGACACCTTGATTATTACCAAGATGAAATGTAACCAGCAGCTGTTGAAAAGTTCCTGGTCAACCAGTCCTTACTTTCTCCTGATACCAACTCTGAATAAACATTAATAACCCAGTGTAAAATGTTGTCAGAAGGCAAAAAGCAGACAAAACACAAAAAACCAGACTGAATTTGGAAAAGGATATGCTCATTAAAAATAAATGTCTGATGCAAGTGTTTATGCATGACTGTATCTCCTTCTTGTATTGGTAGTTTTTAAATCAGATTGAAACTAATATTAGACCTTAACTAGACCTTATATTATCATTGGATCTTATCTCTAGACTAATTTTTCTCTGTGCGTGGTTTTCTTATATTTTGTAAATGATTATTTTTGTATTTAATAGGTCTCGCGGGATCTCGTGTGCTTTCTACAGCTAGATCATGTCAATGTTTACTATGGACAGGACTATCGGAACAAATACAAAGCACCCACAGACTATTGTTTAGTGCTAAAGGTAAGTTGTTAATTGTTTTAAAAATTCTCATACTGAGAAGAGCAATTAAAGAGCTTGAAACATTTGCACACTAATCTTAGCCCCTTATAATAACTGCACTTCCTAATTGTGAGCAAGAGCTGATTAACACAATATTAATCTTGAGACAGATTGTAATTTAGAATATGCTTCCTATAGTAGTATAACAATTGGAAAACTATGCCTATCAGTTTTCAGGGTGAATCTCTAAATTACTTTAATTCTGCACATGAGAAATCTAAATTGCCATAAATTACAGTGAGAAAGCTATGTTTAACTGTTTTCTGTGGAGTTCTTGTAACAAGCCTGCTTGATGGAAATACAGTAAAAAATGAGAAAATGCAGTGTGGGGAAATGGCTATGAATCACTTTCTTCCCCATCAAGCTGACAGATTTCCTCCTCCTGCCAGAAGATCCGTGTGGATTGCATGGTGGGGGAGATAAAAAAGATCATAGAGAGCGGCAGAAGAATGGCTTTACTGGATTCATCTAGCACTCTAGGTTTCTCTGACAGTGGACTTTCTTTATAAGCTGCTTAGGGAAAAATTTTAAGTACAGGACAGTCTTGCAGAGATGCTTCCACAGAATACTTCTTCAGCCTTTAGAAATGTAGGGAGCCAGGGATCTTGGCTATTCAACAGCCCCAGGTGCATTTTTAATCTTTGAGTATGCCCTGTCTCTTTTGGCATTCCAAGAAACTTTTAGAATGCTACAGCAGTTAGGTACAACCTGTACGCTCTTTCACTTGTACTGAGCCATCAGTTGCTTTTCATTTTGTTTTCCCCTAGTTCTTTTATAGGAAGTGAACAGTTAGTAAGCAATTGTTGCCTGTTCTCCATGCTCCTCATGACTTCATAAACGTTTTCTTATTGCTCTGAATTGTCTTACTTCCACACTGATGAGTCCCAGTCTGTTTAATTGTTCATTGTACTCTAAAACATAACACTAAACTCCTTTTGTCGCTTTGGCAACTCTATACCTTATAACAATTCAGGTTTGGTGAGAATAATGCCCCTTGAAATGCTAACTTCAGGAAGTTGGTGTCTTCTCAGGGTGTAGGTCCATAGCTGTGCACAAATTGGTATTGGAGAGTCAAGACTACCCATAGTGCCCAACCCAAGGGAAAGGGAATGCTGTAAAGGAGGAAACTTCTGACTATAAAGGACAAGAAAAAAGAACATGTAGAAAAAAATGTTATGAAAGCAGTGACCTGGTCTTAAACTGTGAGATTAATAACTTGAGAACTTCAAGTTATTTTAAATTGAATCAACTCATCTCCCACACAAGTGTTCGAAATGGTGTCAGCTCCTGCAAGATAGCTAGCTACAAAGCTATTTTAAAACAGGTTTTCACAGCATGTTCATAGCAAGTAAAGTGTCTTCATGGATTTGAAAATGGTGCAAGTAACAAGAGATGGTTATAGTTGCACTTACAGTTTTCCTTTGACCTCTTACCTTCTCTGATTTGTAGTACATGTGGCGTTGCATATATTAGTATGTTAGAATCTTTTATGTGCCTGGAGTGTGCAGCTGCCTGTCCACAGTGTGAAAAAAGGATTTCATCTTCTAATAGACAGGGCAACATTTGGGCCTGCAGGGAGGTAGGCACTGAATATCAAATACCGGACATGATATTAAGGGAGAAAGCATACAGCTGAAACCGGAAATATTTTCCATGTTCTTGTAGGTCATTGGTGCAGTTAATTGAATGCAATTAACAGCAAAAAATGTCAGTGTTTGTAGGTATTTATAAATTCCTTGAAATAAATTTATTTCTTCTGCTTACATGTCACTTTTTATCCACATCATCTGGACAGGTTAATAGTGAATTATTTTTTCAGACTTGTTGACCACACAGGGTAAACCAGACTAAGTCTTATCTAAGTAGTTTTTTTAAAAATGTATTGCCATTCTGAGCATAAATGAAGACACGAAAATGTTAAAGTCAAATTTTAGTGTGTCTAAATTGTCCCTTAGTGGCTTATTTAAGTAAATTAATGGAGTAGAGTTAGTCGGGTAACTTAGACAAAGTGAAGCTATGCTTTCGGTGTGGAACTGATGAATCAGCAAATTACTATATTCAGCAG